GAAAAATTAGGTGTCTATTTACTTGTGACCACTCAGTGTACATGAACAGTTCATGATCACGTGCTCAACTGACATGTCACTTTTCCTAAAGGGGAGAGCACCAAAGGATGTGGACGATATGATCAAGCTGGAAGTATAATATATGGAAACCCATGAAAAGAATATAACTGACAAGTACAAGAATAACCAGTTAAAGTTGAAACCGGGAGTGGTTCACCAGAAGCAGGATGCCACCAAAAATGACAAGAGGATAACAGACAAAAGGGAGAAGAGATGCTTTGCTTATTATAAAACGGGGCACATTGTGAGTGAGTGCAAGTCTGTCACCAACAAGCAACAGTAGAAACCTGAACATAAAGCAACAGGAGCCACCTACAAAGATGATGCTAAAAAGAAACAAGAAAAGAGTAACTGTTACCATGAATGCTGCTACCAGAAAAAACAGAATAGAGACAATTTGTCATGTTCATCCAAAAAGGAAGTGCTATTACCATGATTAAACAGTGCATGGTTGATGGTTAGTTTAAGTTAGCAAACAGTTTCAGTGGTGATCAGAGCATGTGACAAACATCAATAAACAGTGAGAAAGTTTCCCATAACAAGAATAAGGGTAGACACTCCATACTAGGTGGGAGACTTTGAGGCCATGTGTATGAAGGCACCCATCTATGACTTAGTGATTGGAAATATACCAGGCAGATTGAAAACAGAATGAGGCATCTGCAGTAAACACATGAGCTCAGGAAAAGAAAAGCAAGCAAGCCATCAAGTCCCTGCAAATCTCGAACGGTGACATCCCAAATGTAGGTATATGGAAACTGAAGAAAGCACAGAAAAAAGACCTTTCACTGCATAAACATTGGGACAATTGTCAAGCACAAGACAGAGGAGAAAGTGACTCAAGTGATGCAGTTGGCTCACGAGTCGATTGTGAGAGAACATCAAGGAGCAAAGAAGACATCAGATAGAATCACCAGCAACTTCCATTGACCATGGGTCATTGGAGATTCTGCAGGTCATGTGACATATGCCAAAGGACAGTATCTAGAAGGAAGGTAGCCAAGGTGCCACTGGATGTTATTAAAAAAATATTCTTTGATGTATTGTTTAGGTAGAGTATTCATAATGAAATGTGGTTGAATGGATAGCAACTACCTGTTGTAAAAACACAAGTATAGAGGCCGACATTTTGAAAGCCTTCTGCCTTTCATCTTCAGGTCAGTGTGTAAAGCAACAATAACAATTTCGTGGCAGAAATTTAGGATCAAAGAGAGACTTGGGGTGCTGAAAGACAATTCAGAATGCTCTGAAGCTTTTGTTCATCTCCCCCCCCCCCTCGCGATGAAAATATAAAAGCTACACGAATTTGAAGAAGGGAGAATAGTGTCTATGCACACAAGTTTCTAGTTGATTGTTTGTGAAAAAGATTCATGGATTTGAAGGAAATTCCTACATAAATAGATAAATAAATCTGAGTCTGGTGGACTTACCAGAGTAACAGCCCTTTTCAGGGGAGCTGGGATAAAATTATCCAATGATCTGAGAAAAACCTGCTTTCACAGTCCAGGCACTGAATAATCTACCTGACCAGTGCCTGAGATATATGGCTAAGAGGAAAAAGAAGTTTGTTAACATATTAGGCCATCAAGAAATTAATGTCGCTTTTTTTTTAGATGTAGTGAGTGATATTTCTTTACTGTGTAACGAATTTGTTATTATACATTTATTTTAATATAAAC